TCTGGAAGTATCCACCTGGAAGTATCCAATGGGCTTTAATTATTCTTTCTGTTCTTTTCCGGTTTTATGTGAGGCTGGAGATTGAACTCAGAGCTTCATGCACGTTCAGCAAGTACCCTACCACTGAGCTGCACCCTCAGCTTTATTATTATTTCTTTAAACACCAGGAATATTATTTTGAGCATACTAGTTCAGGGTTTAGCAAATCTGCCTGCTTCACATCAAATAATCCGAGTACGTGAAACACTACCACTTCTAAGCCAAAATTTTCCCATGAACTTTTGCTATATTTTTCTTCCTTTTGGACTACTAACAGCCTTTATACAAAACCATTCTCTCTAAGGGTATGTTTGGAAATATAAACAGGTTAAAGATGTAATTTATCCTCATAAGGTCCTTATCACTTGCTCCAACTCATTATAGAAGATCGACTTTGAATTAGACCTTTTCCATTCCCTTGTTTCTCCTTAATTAAGTACAGATAAAACTATAAGCCCACGCTCAAAAGGACCTCAAGAGTAATTCAGTCCAGTCATCTCTCTGAAGCAAAGATTATAACTATCTCGTCAGTAACCCTACAGCAGATGACAGAATTGTAGTGACAGAAGTACCACCTTGATCTGAAACATAACTATTTCTGAAGTTACTCCTTATATAGAATCAGAGGCTGGGGATATAGTTCAGTGGTACAGTACCTGCCTGGCAAGCTCAAGGTCCTGAGTTTTATTTCTGGCACCAAAAAAGGAAAATTTGACTGGGGATATATCTCAGTAGCACAGTACCTGCCTAGCAAGTGCAAGGTCTTCAGCTTGATTCCCAGTACCAAAAAAAAACCAACCAACCAACAAACAAACAAAAACCAAAATATGCTCCTTATAGCAAATTAATTCTATCTCTTTGCATCTTCCACTGACTGGTAGACTCTTTCAAGTACAGTAGACCCTCGAGTTAACAACTAGCCTCCCATATGGACAACTTGTGTTAAGATCAGAATTTCAGGTTTGACTTACAACCAAAGCCTTGAATAAAAATCCCAATGCACGCTGCTTGTGTGGCTGTAATCAAAGACTTGTGCTGCCAGAAAAGTGCATGTAAACATACGTAGGTGTCAATCTGAGCTCAGATGTGTGTCTTTGTGGATGTGATTTTGGTTAGTGCTTTACATAATTGCTATGATTGCTGCTATCAAACTGATTCCCCCCAAAAGCTAGAAAAGAAGCTAAGGAAGGAAGGCAAGGGAAAGAAAGCAATCAAGAAAAGAAGAAAAGATCTGTATAAGGAAGCTAGTGTTTCTAAAGGTGTTACTCAAATTCGTAAGACATGAACAACAGTATTAGATGAGGTAGAAAGGCTATTATTAGTGTGGATAAACAAAAAGCAGACAGCAAGTTATAGCCTGAATCTATAATTTGTGCAAAAGCCAGAGATAGAAATGAAGATCTTATAAAGGATAATCCATCAACAAGTGATAATGGTTAAACATTCTACACCAGTAAGGGGTGGTTTCACAATTTTAAAGCATGAACTGGGGTTCATAGCATATACGGGCATAGTGAAGCTGCCAGCGCTGATAAAACAGCTGCTGAAAATTACATACACCACTTTTGAATCATGACATAAAAAAATGGCTTTTGCTCTCATCAAATTTTCAACTATGGTGAACAGGCCTTTTCTGGAAGAAAATGCCCTGGAGACTATACATTACCCAGGAAGAGAAGAAAATGCCAGGCTACATGCCTATGAAGGATAGGCTAACCTTATTGCTAGCCAATGTGAGTGGCGACCTCAAGATAAAGCCTCTCTTGTTTTATGACTCTGAGACCCCTAGAGTGTTCAGAAAACATAAAGTCATTAAGAATAGGCAAGGGACCATAGCCTGGGTAACAAGAGTATTTTTATTGGGTGGATCAAGGAAGCTTTTGTCCTACTGTTAAGAAATATCTAGAGGTCAAAAGTTTACCACTCAAGGCTCACCTCATCATGGACAATGCTTCTGCGCACCCATGAGATTTGGAAGAAGAACTGGCTGAAGAATTGCCATGGTTTTCAGTCAAGTTCCTCCCACTTAATACAACTCCTCTACTGCTGCCTATGGACCAGCATGTTGTAGCTAACTTTCAAAGGCTATACACCCAGGAACCATTCCTGAAGTCCTTCCAAATGGTCTCAAATAGATTTACCCCTTAAGTAGTTCTGAAAGGAACATTACAACATCCTTTCCTGTGTGCGGTTGAGGAATCCTGGGCCAATGTCTGTAAGGACACTGAGATCTGCCTGAAAGAAAGTATGGCCTGCAATTACATAGAAGCCTGAGCCTTCAACTGACCCTGTGGTTGATGACACTGTCACTATAGCAGAGTCCACAGGCATACAGGTAGACAGTGGTGATGCTGAGGAACTGGTAGAGGAACACTCAGAGGAATTATCTACAGAGGAACTTCAGCAACTTCTGAATGGGGCTAGATACACAAAGAATGGCAGCCGAAGAGCTTTCTGAAGAGGAGGGGGAGTATCAACAATCAGTGCAGCAAAGTTCTTCTTCAGAAACAAAGGAAATCCTAAAAAGCATGGACAGAGCTACAAACACTTGCAAAAAGGACAAGAAAAAGCCAATCACTGCATTCACTTGCTTAATAATAATGTCATGTTATACTATAGGACAGTGTTAAAGAAAAGACAGAAACAGACAGCCTTAGACCAGTTTTTAATTCTGAAAAGGTTGAAACCTACTGAGCCAAATGCAGGTCCTGGTGGACTACAGACTCTCCCAAGGACAGAAAGGACAGCAGAGAGCCAGAGTCCTGATTTTCTTATGCAAGGGGACTCTCCTTCCAAGTGATAACCACCTTCCATTTCATCCTCCCTTCCTGCAAGTCAAAGATGTCAACTTGAATGGTAGATACAGTATGAAATTGTTGGTTCTGGGAACTAGGCACATTTTGTAACTTTTTGGTGAATACTATAGGAAAATTATTGGTGTTTCTGGTAAATTATGCACATTATACAATCCTTTTATATCATGAAAAGGTTAATGAAGGGATGCTTTGGAAGGCTTGGAATGCATTATGGGTACTCCATTATTTCTTATGGGAAAAACAGTCTTGACTTATAATCAGCTTGAGTTACAATCAGCCCTTGCAAACAAACTGAGTTTGTAAGTCAAGGGTCCACTTTACCCTGCTTCCTGTGAATATAGAAGATTCCCTCCATAATCTCTTGCTATGGATAAGAATTTAAAAAGTAAATAACCTCTGCTGCTTGTAATTATCAAATCGACAAAAAAAAATTGAAGTGTTTTGTCTTTATTTACTCATATGAAAACAACTGATTAGGCTTTCACCAAATCTGGAAGATATATGTGGACTAAACTATCTTCCTCTGTCAGCTATGAAAGCAAGATCAGGCGGCTTTGATGACAGCCTCTCTAACGCCAGATCTCAGAGCTGGTGAGGCTCAATGACAAAAGTCTGGTGTCACTGCTGATTGAGAAAGACAGGCCTTCCATACCCTGTATACAGAAAAGTAGACAAGAGATTTCAAAAGTGAAATCAGACTGAAAATCACCAGAGCAAACATTCCAAAATGTAGGCATTGATTTGTAATTAAGTTCTTTTCAAATTGCTTTGTATGTGGGCAGCTTTATACTCCAGGGAGGGTAGCAATCACGATTTTTCTAAAATGATGTTTAATGATTTTTCTTGGGGATCAGCTAGTAACAAAACACACGTGGAAATGCTCCATAAACTGCAAAGCATTATAAAATGCAATGACGCATCTTCATTATATTTTGAACTCATGGTGTGTGCCCACCATGTGATTATTATTACACTGGTCAGCAGCTGAAGGTTCTAGGCAGTTTTTCATATTGTGCATAAATGAGTGACAAAGAAAGACCTTGACCTTGTAAAGGATTTCTTTACCTGGGCCTAAGTATATTATAAAATGACACTGCATTAAAACTGCATGAATTTATGGTTCACATATAAAGTAGAAAAAGTCTTAGGGCAGAAAAATGCCCAAAGAGAACAGGCATAAATAGCAGCACCAGAGTTTTCTCTATAACTGAAGAGATTCTGGCTTGCCTGTAGGCCCACAACTGAGTTTCATAACAAAAGAGGGAATTGGGCTGCATGCACAGATCTATACGTCTGGGCAACCTGAAGGAGGTTTTATCTGGAAATGGGGGGAAAGAACTAGATGCTCCTGCAGGCATCACTTCTCCCACTGGCTGATTTTTGAAGCGGTAATAACGTACAGACTAATAAAAAGATACCAAATAGCCTTCCAAGAAACCGGACATGGCTAGTATCCTCCAACAGGAGACACGAATACAAATTAATAGGAGATGTCTTGTGCCTGTGAAAACAGCTGACCCATCTGCTGAGTTTCATGTGCCCTGTCCTTCTGTGCAGCCCTGTGTGGTAGTTCAGGACAGGTGTTCTGGATTCACACTTGTGGGCTTTGAACCCTGGCTCTACTACCTGCTACCCAAGCAAGTGTGTTAGGGTATGTACTTAATCTATATCACCCTTTCCTCAGCTCCTACTGGGGTCCTTCTGAGGAAACAGAGCCAGTAAGTGGGACTTTCCTCATGTAGGGCCCTGTACACGTAAGCACCCTGCTCCTTGCTTGCTTCCGGTCCTGAGACCGAGGCCCACTTCCTAGAAGTGCCTGCGAGAAGGGGTACAGTGGAAACTGCCTATCATAGCTTATGTTTTGTGTAACTGTTTAAAAATGAAAGCAAGCTGCGCTACCTCCTGCCAAAGAGCGGTGCAATGGTGTACTCAACAACTGTGGTTTCCACGGGAAAGTAAGAGGAAACAGATGTTTCTGAAAAATAAAAATCCATGCCTTGGGCGGTGCTCACAAAAAAGGTATCCCCGAACCATGCCAGGGCCATCTGATAGTTTCGTGTAGCTGGAACCTGCCTAGGCACACGGGGTGCCCTGGATGGCATTTCTCTGACTCCCCCAACCCCTCCAGATCCCGAAGGTGCCAACCTTCTATGAAGTCCGAGGCCGTGTACGGACGCTGGTTGGGGCTGCTCTCTGAGGGGTTGTTCAAGCTCTCCAAAGCCAACTCAATGGCTTCTACCAGCTCGTCGCGCTTGTCCTTCCTCACCGGCTTCTCCTCGGGGTGGCGCGTCAGGCCGGTTTCCAGCTGGTACACTTTCTGCAGGGTGAAGCTGTCGAAGGGCACCGCGGCGTACTCAGTGGCCAACTTGACCCCTGCGTGCACCTCGGCCTTGTCCACCTGAGCGCGCAGGAAAGCCAGCAGGTCGGCCTGTGCCTGGGCCTTGGGCGCCGGGCCCCGGCCTGCCGCCTCGCTGGCCTGGTCCTGAGCACCTCGCAGCTGCTCGCTGCGCCCCTGCAGCTCCTCCTTGAGCTGCGCAATCTGCCGCTTGAGGCTGCTGACATAGTTGCGGTGCTGCTCCTCGCGCTCCTGCAGCGCTGCCTGGTAGCCCTCTTTCCCCGTGGGGCCGTTGGCCCTGGGCAGTCCCAGCTGCTCCTCGTCGCCCTTGGGAGTGCAGGCCAGCATGTAGAGGACGGAGACGGCGCAGCAGAGCAGCACAAAGAGGACTACTACCCGGGAAATCCACCCCAGCAGCCCGCGGCGGACCATCGTCACTTAGGCCAAGGCCATGCGTCCAGCACGCCGCATCCCAGAGCCCAGGCCCGCGTAAGGGCTTCCTGGACTAGACCGTAGGAAGCATGTGCCCGGGGCCCTCTGCGCTGTGTTTATCGCTTTGCCCCTTGGAGTCCACCACCACGGGAGACAGCTCTCCTAAAGAAGGATCTTCCAGGCAGAAGCAGTGGGTTAGGGAGAGCCTCCGAGTTCTCCCATCCATTCCCATCATAGCCTTCCCAACGTGCCGCAGACAGGGGTGACCTGGGAAGACACAAAGGACAGGAACGCTTAACACCTTCCCTTCACTTATGGCAAGACACAGACCATCGACATCTCTGCAGTTACAGGAAGTGTTTGGGAAAGATGACTAAATATTGGTAAATGTAAATCACAACACAAACGTACATCTGCTGTTCCTTGCATATACAGAATAGAAGACACAAAAGATGGGAGGGAAATATTGCCAAATGAGAATAATAATTCTCTCTGGGTGGAAGGACTGTGATTTCTCTGCTTCCCCCTGATTTTTTTTTAATCTTGTAAATTCTCCGAAATGGCATACATTTAATGATTTAAAATGGAAAAGTAACTCAGGGAAGCTGAAGAAAGAGGATCACAAGTTGAGGCCAAGGCTGGGCAACTTAGTGACTTAACAAGATCCTATTTAATATCTCAATATTAAAAAAAGAAAATTTAGGGGCTGGGGATTTAGCTCGGCGGCAAAAGCGCCTGCCTGGCAAGCGCAAGGTCATGAGTTCGGTTCCCGGTACCAGAGCAAAACCAAAAAAAAAAAAAAAAAAGAAAATTTAAAGGGCTGGAGATGTAGCTTAGTGTGAAGATCCCAGATTCAATCTCTATTACCAAGGCGGGGGGTGGGGTGGGGGGCAAAACTTGCAAGCCACTGCAATTGCAGGCAGGGACTGTCAGCCAGGCAGGGAGCAGGATGCAGTCAGATCCCTGAGTCCCTTCGGGAGCCCTGGTCCAGGGCAGTTCTGACAGTGATCAGCGAGGACTCAAGCTTGCAGATGCCCACACGGGGAAGCACCCAGAGGTTGGAAGCCGTAAGTAGTAAATCCAAACGGATCAGGGACAGCTGTTCCCCCAAACTCTCCAATCCTGTCTGCAGCCTGGGAAGGTTAGTTCACCAGGGAAAAGGATGGGGCTGGAGGAAGAAGGAGTGCCTCCAACCTTCGGCTACCTCTGTTCTAGCTGCTGTAAGGAATTCTGCGTCTGGACTGCTCCACAGTAATCCTCAAGCATGTCACACGCTCTGTACCCCAACTCGAAGTCCCTGTGCCATGAGCAGCCAGCAAGACGGGCCCTCTCCATTTCTCTGTAGGGACTCTTCCCCGCTCCTCCTCCACAGACATACCCTCCAAGGCATTCTGTTTTCAGCGTTCTCTCTTTTGTAACCCTCCTTTTACATCTCCCCCTATTTATCTTAGCCAGAAATAAATATAGATTAAATCCAAATTTTTATTTGAGAACATTTTCATAATTCCTTTCTAGAGGCATCTTTCTATATCACTTTTCTTATAAAGCTCCTGAAGGTATACATGCTTTGTCATTTAACGAAAACTTCACATTTTTAATAAGCCCTATGATGACTAAATTATTTAGATAGCTTTCACTCATCCCAGATTCAGAGTAAACAATCAACCCACTTGCTGGGGTTCTGTCCCTTCTTCTGCTAGGAAAAAGGAGCCCAGTAAATTCAGCACCTCCAGGGGTCCTGGAGGGAGAAACAGGTGCCACTGTCGTTCTCTCTATGCTGATGACATGGTGATGACCCCAGGCTCAGTGACTTGACCTGAATGTCACCTGCTATATAAACTGTGCCCAGACACAGGAGTCTGTCCCTCTTTGTCACCCAGGAGGGGCTCCGCTAACCCACACCACTCCACCACCAAAACAATTTATTCCTCCACCTTCCTTAAACATGCAAAACATAAACATTTTCTTTCTAATATTTTATCTAGCATTTCTCTTGGCCTGAGGAGTCTCTCTCCTATAATTTAGAACAATACACAGTTATTAGTGCTGAGTTTAAAGTGCATGTTTAGCCCTGGAAGCCTTTTCTGGTTGATGAAAATCTTGGGATTTGTATAATTACTATAATTCTGTGATTAAAACATCTCAGCTTTGGTGTTCAGGCACCTTGCTGGTTTTAATGAAATCTCTCAGATGAACTCATTATATGCAAATGCTAAATTATCAGTGAAGACATGTTATCAAGTTATTCTGCCATTTTAAAGGCTTTTGCTTTAAATAGGTTGTCATTAAAGATAAAATAAGCAAATAAAAAAAAAACCCAAACTGGATCATTCAACAAAATTTGGTATGCTGTGGAAACATAAAGTATGCAATCTTTTTAACAACATTTTATTGGGATAATTGTTATATTTGCATAGTAGATTGAAATCATGTTGGTTAGCAAAAGTTATGATATTAAAGCTATGGTTAAATAAATTTAAAACTGTGGAATACAATTTTTTACCGGAAGTACCTTTAAGCTCTAGTTTCACTTTTGAAATTCACTAGTATAAAATTGCTAATCCAGTATTTGGAGAAAAGAGGTAAAATCTCAAATATTTAGGAAAAACAGACTTTAAAAAGAAAATAACAAAGATCCATAAAACTGCTACCAAAGAAGCAATGATGATTTTTTTTTTCCTTTTGAGCATCTGGGGCAGAAAATACATTCCAGAAGCAAATTTTGCATCCATTACTAGACAAGATATGCTTTAATCATTGCGGCAATGTACTCCATAATCAAACCTAGTTACTAGCTATACTGTAGACGGTACAGGTTAATCTAAGGTGCAGTAGTATCTGCTTGCTGAAATCAGTAGAAACTAATTCTTTCTAGTCTTGCTTCTATGGAGACTTCAAGTTTTTTATTGGGCTGCACAGAACGTTATTCTTGGGAGTGGGTGTCATTTTCTGAAGCTCTGCCACCTTCAGAAAAGACACTTTGACGAGATAGAATTGGACCCATGGGCAGCTGAGCTGTGAAGTCCCCATGTAATCTAGTCTCCCTGTTTAGGCAGAGAGGTTGGGAGAATTAGAGTTAACATTTATAAAGTGTTTACTGACAGACAGATGGAAAGCACCATGTAATTACTAAGCACTACTACCAGTTAGAGATGACAGTAAAAATATAGCTTTATGTGATCACACCAGCACTGTGCTACTATTTTAAAAACTTAGAAAAGGCACTTAGCTTTTAGACTAGCTCAGTCTCATAGGGTAGCTGGAAGACAGGGAAGAAGTGGAATGTAAGAGGAAGACCCTGTCAACAAGCAAGTTGCGAGAAGAGATGCATACTTTTGATTTTTAATTGCACAAAATCCTTGCGCGCATCAATTTTCTTGCCACTTACTTTTTGTGTGTTTATTTTTTGAGACAGGGTCTTGCCCTGTAGTTCAGGCTGCCCTTGAACTTACTATATAGCCCAGCCTGGCTTCAAACTCACAGTGATCCTCCTGCCTCAGCCTCTGGAAGCCTGAGTTACAGGCATGTGCCACCAAGCCCAGCTACATATTTCAAGGTTTATTCTTACTGACTGCTTTGCCCAGTACTCTCCTATCCCTGGACAAACCCCAAGGATGGTTCTGTGGTGCAGCATGTCTGGAACACTGGATTTACTGATGAGATGGAAGGGGACATGCAGCAAAACAGCTTTATTGCCATTCTTACCAGCTCTGGGGGAGAAGACATCTTTATGTCTGCTGTGAAGGCAGAGGCAGAGCAATGCCTTCTAGTGTTCTTCCGGTCTGAGTGCACTAAAGTGGGACCAAAAGCTCAGGCTGGAAAAGCATTCTCAGTGTGGCCCATGTTCCATTGTCCTAAGGTCAGAATATTCCTAGAAGCTTTTTGGTTTGCATATATCATAGGAGGTGCCTTAAAGGAGTCACAGCCTTTCCTGAGCTTTTAAGGCAGGAATCTGAGGGACACGGTGAGTCTATGCCAAGCAGCAATGGAGTGGGTCTCTCAAGACTCCAAGTAGAAGTTGGATAAAAACTCTGACATTCCATCCCGACCAGGGAACATCTGCAGAGTGCTCGGACCTTGGTATAACATGCAAATGTGCCAATAAGGGGTCAGAATCACAGTCCCCTCTGTCTAGGATTCGATCCTTATTCAGACATACAACAAACAGGCATTCAACACTTGCTGTATTCACAAGAAGTTAAAGAAGAATGAATTCCCACAGCAGTACGCTTACAAACTTGCAGAGGAACTCAGGTATTCTCAAAGAAGTATAATTTGAACCCCAAAGACTGTACAATACATATAAAGCATTAACAGATAATATAAAGTACTTGATAGATATAAAATGTTAACACTGTGTGCCCACCTACCATTGGATGGGTGATGGGTGAGGTGGGAGAGGGTTTAAAAAGAAAACCACAAATAAGTAAAATTTAAAAACCTTAAGATAAATGTGAGGAATCATTCATATTTGTGAATAGATGCAGCTCACCACAGTTACTGTGGAAGCTCTTCAGAAGCTGAAACTAACACAGGTCTAAGACTGGACTAGGGTCTACAACTCACCCCAGATGTGGTCAGTGGACAACAGAACTTTTATTTTAGTATGACAGAAATTGCTGTTAGGATGGTTGTAAGCATTTCACTCTACAGATGTCGGTGGATGTTTTGGTCACAAGAGTTGCATGCCATGGTAGCCTGCCAGAGTACTCACAAGGAGCTCATAAATCATGACAGGCTGCAGGGGAAGCCCTGCTGGTAACATGCTGTCAGGGTCAGCGGCAAGCAGAGATGATGGTGGCTTCACGGTGAGCCCATTTCAGGCAGCACTATGTACTACAAGGACAGGGCCTGTGAGTGATAAAGGAAACTATGCAAGAAGTGGCAATAAATTCTACAACACTTATTCACCCTGTACGTGGGCACAGCCAAGCAGGCTGGTGCAGCACAGAGACAAGCAGTGTATCCTGGATCAGGAAGTGGCAGACCAAAGCCCTAACACCACGTGTGAGCCGGCTCCACCTTGGCACACACAGGCAGCTCTTTGACAGCAAAGAAGCAAAGGAAGTTTTAGTGAAAGAGTTAGCTGTACCTATAGAACACACACTGACATCACATTTGACAGATAAACATACCATCCTGTGTGTGTGTGTGTGTGTGTGTGTGTGTGTGTGTGTGTGTAAAGGGTATCATGCAAGGATTCTTATTCAGAGTTTTCAAGCGTGCTCCAAAATGGATATCAAGTTAACACTGTGAGCTTTACTGGA